GTTTTCATGACTTTCAATAAAAGGAAAAAAATTGAGAGAGACTGATAACGGCTGTCAGAAGAGAGAACTATGTCAAATTTATCGTCCTTCCCATAGACCCTGCATTAGAAACACCCTCGCATTAGCGTTAACTGTTTTGTTGTAATTTGATGCAAACGTGATAATACCTAATATAATAGTGTTATAAATGTACATATATATATATAAAAAATACAAATATGAAAAACTTTCGAGGATTTACGATGCTGATGACCGTTAAACGCGTCATCACAGTCTTGTGAAAAGGGTCCACTGACTCCGTCCTTCAGAAACTGGACCCGCCCACGTGGGCTCGATTCAAACTCGCACAGCTTGAAATAATCGTCGAATAAAAATTAAACTGCATTCAATTGTTATCATACCGTTCACAGATAAACAAAATCAGGGACTGTCTGTGACATATTTTGGACATAAAACCATAGTTTGGGATCATCGTCGTCGTTTGTTTGTTTCATTGTTGACTTACGTACGCACAAATGAGACTGCTGAATATATACTGTACAATGTGTAACCATGCCAACCGACAAAAAAAAAAAAAAAAACAGCCCAAAGAATAACGGACGTTGTAAAGATGCTGTCAACCGCTGTCGTGTATTTATTCATGTAAATCCTGAGCGAAGGGACGTTCTCCCCACTCACAGCAGCCTCTATTCACACTACTGTGAATAATTCAACGTCGACGTCCCAAAAAAGGACAAGCATGTACTGCCGCCTTGTCGGTGCATTATTAATACACTATAAGATAACGACACACACGTGTTGGTAGCGATGTGTAGCCCCAACAAAACACAGTGGGACAATCACTTAACGTTACTCACCTGTTTTTGTGAGCAACGCCGACATACACCACGCCAAGAACAGGACGCTGCAGATGAAGCACACCTGCGCGAACAGCATCTCTCTCCGTTTGCGAACTTTAAACATTTTGGTAATGATGCTCTTTTTCGATATACTGCAGCTCTGCTCCAGCTCCATGGTCGTCTGTGGCTGGGTCATTTCGCGAGTGTAATTCAGCTCCGGGTTGAAGCCACACAGATGGCCGGGACCGCAGGAAATCAGGCTCGGGATGAGGTCTTCTTCATGTCCAGCGCGCGGTGGAGCATGTGTGCGTGAGCTTCAGTCGCGCTCCTTCTGATGTTGTATTATTAAAGCAGCACGAGGGGGGTAAAAAAAGCTAATTATAATCAGCTGAAATTAATTACTGGACATATTTTGGACGGTATGCTGTCGGGCTTCACAGTTGTCTGGTGATAGTAAGACTAAAACCCAAAATCTCTTTGACATAAGAAATATACAGGGCGAGCTAGCTGTCCTTTTATTTGATCAAATATATAAACGACCCTGTCAGTAAACGTCTTAAGGATCCATGCCGTTTAGGATCAGTCCTCTCAAGTTTAGGTTTCATCTCCGTCTCATGCAGCTGCTGTGACTTCTACATGTGAGAGACTTACGCACGTTTACGTGACACTGATGACGTATGCACACTGAGCCTGCTATACTCACTACAGTACTATAATAATCCTTGGAAAAGGCATGGTTTATACCATGCAAATACTAGGCTATTCCTAATAAAGCCACTTAATGTCATGCAAAATACTGTATATCAATCTAATGATATTAATAGTCAATTCAGAAATTATCGTTTTATCATGTGGTTTTGTGTCAGTGGATCATATTTTCTTTTAAATGCTCTATTTTCATGGTAGGGGTTTAATTATAGGATGCAGTGTGCTATTTTCTTATGATTTAGACTACTATTTCCAGTAAGAATCAGTGTTGGGGGTAAC